GGTCTTCCTCTTCCCATATTCCTCCCTGAGCCTGGTTTCCCCCAGCCTGCTGTGTCTGCGTGTCTCCGCCTAGGGATGCTCTCGCCGTGTCTCTGCGTCTTGGTCTCTTTGTCTCTGCCTCTCTCCAGTCCATGAATGATCCTTTGAATGGGCCCACAGACCCCGTGTGTTCCCATCTCCCCCTCCCCCTCCTTCTCCCCTTCCCGGCCAAGCCATTTTCCCCACTGCAGGAAAGGGGGGGCTGCGGCCTGAGCCCCCGTCCCTCAACTCTCCCCGGTTGGGGGAGTCAGGCCTGGGCTGGAATGGAAGAGCAAGGCAGAAGGATCGGGAGGAGGGGGAGCAAAATGTAGCAGACAGAGATGGAGAGAGAAAATGGGGGAGAAAGAAATAGAGAAAGGAGAGAGAGAGAGAGAGAGAGAGAGAGAGAGAGAGAGAGAGAGCACTTGAGGGAGAAAATCAGAGAAGGTATTTGGAGGAGAGAGCGATGAGAAACACCAAGGAGACAAATGAGAAAAGACCGAGGGATGAGAGACTGAAGGCAAGAGCTGGAGCAAGCCGGTTAAGGCCAAGAAAAGATGCTCTAAGGGATCCTGTATAGAGGAGAAAGATGGGGGGAGGGCTCTAGTGGGAGGGAAGAGAGGAAAGCTAGTTGGAGGAGAGGAGGCAAGGGGCCCAAAGTACCTTTAAGGGAAAGGGGTGACTGAGGCAGGCCATGTTGGGAGGAGGGAGAAGGGACAGTAAGGCCCAGCCTGGCCTAGGAAAGGGGGGGGGGAGTCAACTCCAAACCCCCTTCAGGTGATGGGAGAACAGAAGCCTAAAAGGACCTGAAAAGGGGGAGGGCATGACTGGGTGTGAGTGGTGAGGGCTCCTGTGTCCCCATCTCTGGAATAAATTGACACCTGCAGAGAGCCACCCTCGGGCTGGCGCCTGGCTCTGAAAAACCCAGCGTCAGCAAACAGCCTTGGAGACTGGGGGGGTGGTGTTAATGGGGGCTTGCTGAAATGACCTGGGTGTCTGCCTTGTCTACCTTTTTCCTGGTCCTGCCCCTGCTGCCTGAGCACCCAGGCTGGCAAGCGGAAGGGGAGGGAGGGCTGATAGAAGGGATGGGATGAGAAGAAATCCTGAGGTCAAAATGCTGTGCAAGAAACCCAGATGGGGTCTAAGGAAGGGGGATGTCAGTAGGCTTATTTGAAAAGCTCACCTCAGCACACACACACCCCTCCCAATCTGCCAGAGACCTGGTCAGTAGGGTTAGGCTCTGATTGGCTAAGTAGGATGGGGGGGGGCATCTCTTTAGGATTCTCTGTTCTCCTATACTACCTACCCTTCCCCTCATATATACTTCTTCCTCCCTGATAAGATTGGGTAAAACTAGCATTCTGACTCATGCCTCTGCCCTCCCTCTCATGGCCTGAATAGCTGAATGGACCCTTCAACCAAGCAAGCCCCTTCCCCTCTTCCTCTAGACCACCCCCCTCCAGGGTTAAAGCTGCAGCCCGTTGCCGAGGTAACATTGCGGGGCAGCATCCTGTCGCCCAGCAACCGGCTGCAGGATCATGCATCTGTCCCTGGATTTGCCCCTTCAGCATCCCCTCCTCACTTTACCCCTGGCTCTGGACACCCCAACTTCTGAGGAAGACATGGAAGGGCCTGGGGAGAAAGGTTTCCCAAGTGCACAGATCCTTAGGGAATGGTACAGTGTTGGGGACAGCAGGCACTGGGGTTGTTAGTCCAAGAAGGCCCAGAGTCTGGCCTGGGGTGGGGGGTTCAGCACCATGACAGCTAAGGAGAAATAAACACAAAAAAACACCCCCGCCACTTCCTGCTAATTAATGACTCGGTATTTTTATTTTCTCTTCCTTGTCTGTCTCATTGTCTCCCAGGGAAGTGGGGACTGGGACTCCTGAGTCCCTAGGGGGAGCCTGCCTGGGAGGGATAGAGGCAGGAAAGGGGCACACTGAGTCTGGGACGCTGAAGCTCCCTCCTCTGACCCTGCCCTGGACATTTGCCACATCTGACTCCACCCCAAACTTAGGACTCTGCGGAGGGGAAGAGGGCAGTAGAGGGGAGGGGGGGGTAGGTGTCAGAGAGGTTGGGTGGAAGAAAGGGGCAACTTGATCTGAAATTCAAGTCACTAACCACTTGTCTCTTGTTTCCCCATCCTTTCTGTCCTCCCCATCCAATTTCCCTTCCCTTTTTCCACCTCTGTATTTTTTCTGTCTGT